ACCAAAAGTATCTCATATCCCATCCACAGTTTAATCTTATTCAACCAAAATGTATGTACCATTACCTTGAGCAAGCCGCTGTGTGTCTCACTGACATGTTGAAGGAGCGAGAGAAGACAGACAAGGAACCAAATCCGAGGCCCGTATGTTCTCAATGACACTTCCCGGAATACCTCTATATCACGACGGACTACTCATGATACATCATAGGCATTCGGCACTTACCGATTTCCTCGCTGTATGTACTGTTCAATTTTAACCTCGCCGTTCACCCAATATGAATGAGTTTTTAATGTTCCGTTTTCCAGTCCAACAATATATCCGCGGCTCAAATCCATCAAGACTACCAAAGACGTTTGAGAGATGCAGAACGCCAGGTTGATGAGGATCAGGAAAACTATGATGAAGACTCTGCACATGAGGGCACTAGTGAGTCGCCAGAGCAGCAGAAGAAGCGAAAGCGTAAAGAGATTGTTGCTCTGGCCAAAATCAAGCAAAGTAAAGAGTTCGCCCGACGCAAGGCGCGACGAACTGGCGAGCCAGATGATGACGACGATTTCATCGCCCGCGAGATGATGCACGAACGATCGCGTCCGATGCCGGGCCAGCTTGGCAATTGCGAGCTATGCGGTAAACGCTTCACAGTTACTCCATACAGCAAGACAGGACCAAACCACGGTCTTCTTTGTGCGACATGCTCAAAGGCACAAGCAGACAGCGAGAGAAAAGCAAAGGCAAAGAAGCGCGGACCAAGAACTAGTCGACGTCAAAATCAGAGCAATCTTCTCGACGGACTTGCTCAACAAGGTGCCCTGAGCTTGGCCGAGATGTGCACGAAGGTACGCTGATCGCCACACCCTTGAAGTCGCTGCGCTTTGACCTAATACCATGGCTGGTAGAAAGTTGCAGATAATATCAACGATATCGAAGAGTTTGGTGACTTGCCACCGCAACTATTGCTTCGTCTGAGTCAGATACTCTCCAAAAGGCGGGTCATGACACCTCGGACTCTCAATCTTTTCCTTCGCCCAGACCTTAACTCTATCGATATTTTCGATGCCGCTAGTACGTTTTCCTCTCCAGTTCAGTTCCCTTATCCTCCTGTGGCATTCTCACTCTTTCTATCACACAAACTTTCTGCTCTTCGCTCTTTCATGCTTTCCCCCAATTAATGGGTACTAACAGACGACACTCAGAGCTTGAAACACAGGACTTTGAGAAGATTTTCGCATTCATGCCCTCTGTGACTCATGTCAACCTTCGCTTTGCAGGTCAATTGAAAGATCAGGTCGTGGGCTACATGTTGAGCCGTGATCTCCAAATAAAGAGCTTACAGTTAGATGCTACCAACTTGGTGTCCGATCCCTCATGGCGGCAGCTGTTCCAAAAGCTAGGACCACAGCTAGAGAGCCTCAAATTGTCCAACCTTGACTGCTCTTTGGATAACGAAACCGTGGAGGCGTTGACCAGCTGCTGTACTGCACTTCGGTGTTTGAAATTGAAACACTGCTGGAAGCTTGGGGATCGTTCACTTCAAGCCATTTCTAACCTGACAAGCTTGGTGCATTTGTCTTTACACTTTTACCAGGAAGTGGGGAACGAAACTCTTCTTCAGACCATAAATCAGGTGGGGCCAAACTTGCAAACATTGTCATTAGAAGGCTTCACAACTGCGGATGACCATCTGCTTGACATGATTCACGCCAAGTGCAGGACATTGACCAAATTACGCTTCTCGAATAACGTCACCTGCAGTGACAAGGGATTTGTGCGTCTTTTTTCAGACTGGCCAAATCCTGCTCTAGAGATAGTGGATCTTTCATCAACCCGTGATATCGATAATGCTAACCCAGATGGTCCGGCAGAAGCCACAGGACTTGCATCTCATGGGTTTATTGCACTCATGAATCATTCAGGCTCTATGATTCGCAAGTTGAATATCTCGTCCTGTCGTCACATATCACATGCTGCCTTTGCTGAGGTTTTCTCGGATGGGCGCACATATTCCCGTCTGATGGAGCTCGATGTATCGTTCCATACGGTTATGGATGATTATCTCGTGGGTCAGATCTTTCGAAGTTGCCCAAATATACAAAAGTTGGTGGCTTTCGCCTGCTTTAACATCCGCCATATCAAGATACCTCCAGGTGTTGCGCTGATAGGTGGCTTGAAGGCACAAGACTCCATTGTATTGGAGGGAACTTCTCAATCACAATCGATGGTTGTCAATGTCTAACAAGATGGGGATTCTTAAATCAGCTAGGAATGAATTGATGGTTACCAGGGTCAAAAGTATCACGGGTTAATTTCATTTGTTGTTTTCATAACAGACTCTCGAAATCAGGAAATATGGTCAGGTCATTTAATCTCATACCTGGCGAGAAGCCTTCTGTGGCTTATTCAAACACGCGCGTACCTGAAGTGCCATCGCCTTCATCCCGAGGCTTCTCAGTGCATTGGAAATCTACGTATCGTTTATGAAGCCACTGGTAAAGATACTGGGAGAGATAGGGGAGGGCTGGCTTGTATGCTGACTAATTTGAATGCACTCGGGGATTCTTCCTATTGTGAAAGGATGACGAAAGGGACATGAGCCACGATAACCAAATTCAACGTCCTGTGTGTTTCATTTTCTGTCATAATCTGTTGATGGTGGGGACTCGGATGAACCTACTATGCTATCACATGATAACTAGTTTTGGCGGCCAACTAGGTAAAGTAAAAGTAGAGTGACTACCACGGAGTAATTGAATTAGGTATGCTGGTCATAAAACCTGAATAGGTGAGAGCTTATTTGTTGATGTCTACAATGGATATAGTCTGTGCATGAAGACAGGCCATACACATCGAGTCCGCGCATCCATACTGTAGTTACAACAGAGTGTATACGATACAATTGTGGTATCGTAGCCCCCCACAAGCTACGGAGTAGTTGTATGATCATGTGATAAGATAGTACCTCCCGAGTCGACCATTGAAGCTTCCTGCAGTGGTCGGTACAATACCTGGTGCCTCAAGCCTCCAATAAACTCGAATCAATAGCAGCGGGCTTGAGAAGCGAACCAGCCAACCTTTCGACGGCCCCTTGCGTTGCCGGACAGTCATAAAGATGGATGATATAACTGCCGTAGTACAGAGTGAGTAATATTGGTGGTACAGTCTGAAGTCGCCGACCAACTCTTCACACTCTTCTTCTATCTGAGGACCTTTTTTGTACTTCTTTCTTCATCCCCGTCGCTACTGCCACACGCTACCTACCGAAGTCTGAATTTACATCACTCCCCTTTTACTCAGTAGGTACCGTATAAGATTGGTTCCGCAGCCGGACTTTTCCAAACAGGCACCAGGCACAGTCGGGCCGCCCGCCCCCAGCCCCTCTTTGTTTGATTCGCCGTCCATAGAACAGGCTTCTCCTCTGGGAGCTTTCTGCCACACAAAATATTTCACCAACATTACATACTATGAACAGAATTTGGCTGAGCTGTCCAAGCCTCCTCCATGAGGGAGGACAAGAAGGAGAAAATTCAGAAGAAGAAGAAGAAGCAGAAAAAGGAGGAGTCCCGTCACGGGCGGAAGGAGAGAAGGGTGCTACTATAATTAGCAACATTCGCCCCCCACCTCCCTTCCCACTCCCCTATGAGGCTTAGATATGAGACTAGAAAAGACGACTAAGCTACTAATGGTAGTCTAGGTACGTACTACTGAGTACTGTCCGTATTTAGTGTTTTGGGTTCCACACCCCACTGGCACATCCAGGGTTTGTTGGATTTCTGATGACAGACAGTGTTGAGGACTCGTGAGATGCAGATTTATTCGAGTAGTCCAGTAACCACCAACCCATTGTCAAGAATGACAAGTCACGAGTCTGAGTCGATTCCTCTTGGTTGAAGTTGTTACTTCATTTTGACTTTGTAAGACTCCTTAGCATACAACAAATGGACTTCATATTGCAAGGTGAAATCTACTTTGTACTCCGTACTGTACATACGTGCGGATACCTAGTACTCAAAACTCAAGGGGTGCCTAGCTGTCTGAGTTTCCTCTATTTTTGCCGCCCTTATTACATCTGTATTATAGCTACTCCGTACGTTTAACATTCCATCCGTAATCCATTCCAGTCGAAAATAATAATACGTACCTGAAAAACTGGACTATTCTAGTCTAGTCTATCAAAATGACTAGTTGACCGACCAACTAAGTTAGTAAACTAGGGTTGCGCTCCGAGCTGTCTTTGTCATTCGAATCCATCTCCTTCTTCTCCCCTCATTCTCTCCTGTCCCCTAGGCAGGTTTGTTTTCGTTTTGCCTTTCGAGACCCCGTCGCAGAAAACCTAGCTATCGTTCATTGTTCATACGCGCACAACCAACCCCTCTTCTATACCCACTAATGCTGGAAACTCACTTAAGAAGTTAAGTCGCTTAAGAAAATCACTTGAACCCACCAGCCCTTTCCAAGGACCCGCTAGTGGACTGTGAGGGTCCCAGCCGCTGCTGATCGATCATTATACGTATACGCTGTATCAGAAAGAAAGCTCCCTTGGGCCACCTCGCCTCTTCAAACCAGATTCTTCGGAGACCCCTGAGTGAGCTCGAAGCCTCCCAAGCATCCACATCTACCACTCACTGATCTGCCTTGACGCTATCTCATTTTCCTTCACGTCATCCACTTCTTTGCTTGAAATATCATTATTCTCGTGAGCAGGCTTCTCTCCGCCCCGCTGCGATCGAAATCTGTGTGGTTTTCAGACAAGGCCCAGAATTATTCCAAGCACACCCAGCACCCTTTTCGAAAAACCACGCCGGTTCTCTCTCCCTCAGCTACGCGGGCCATCCCTCAGTCCAATTTCCCTTCCTCCACCACGCCGGTAATTTTTTATGGGACAACAATAGCGCCAACAGGCAGGGGCTGGAGTATTGCGGATTCTGGGAGCTGGCGTAGCTTGCTAATCCCATCTGGAAGTGGTTCCGGCTTCGCTAGTGGTCGCTTCGGTTTCAGTCCAGATGCCAATAAAGCTTCCCAAAGGTTTCGCTCGACGAAAATCGTCTGGCAATGCTCTCGAGGAGGTGGAAAATCCTCCTCAGTCATCATTTAAGGTTTTTGAACGACCATCCGCCGACAAGAAATCCTCCAGCGATGGCAACCTGATGTCGAAGAGGCTAAGCGAAGGTCAGCCTCTGTATTCGCCATCCGAAGACGATGATAGCAACATATTTGCAGCGTCGGAAAACCACCATTCACGCAATTCGTATGATCCTCTCCCTACTACACTTTTCTACTATCAAGGTACTAACGATCGTGGTGGAAAAGTCCATACGAAGGAAATCCTTCGGCCCGCTTTTCTCAGTCTACACGCCGGTCAACAGACGGAGCGCCTCCGATTGAGACTCAGTCCCCGCATTCGCGGAACTTGTACGAGATACCAATTCCTCCTATCTCTGGTGCACTTCGGGCAGCCGGGCGAACATTTTCTTTCGGTGGGAGATTTTCGAAGACTTCGGCTGCGGTTCCGCAATCTCAATCATCCATTTCTGGACCCTCAAGAAACCGAGCTATGACTGCGAGCACAACAAACACTGCGACCGCACCGAGACTTCCCGAGACAGAGCTGCAATTTAATGAGATGGAAGACGATTTTCAGAACATGTTTGGTAGCCTTGAAAAGCGCTACTATACTCCACAGGATTCATCACAAGAGAGAGCTTTACAACCGGTATGTCAATGCCTCTGCCTCTACTGTCCACCCTGCCACAGGGCCCCCTTAAAGACTCCGTAAGGGTCTTTGCTGATTTCTACATTAAGCCAGTCGGTGTCGATTTCTAACATGTATTCTAGGACTCGTCAGCACCACGCAAGTCTGGACACGAAGGTCCTGCGAGAAAAGATGAAAGGGTCCCCCGCCCAACACCCATTGATACTGATCGATCGCAGGAAGTTGAGCCGTCTCCTTACTCCTGGGATAGCCGACATTCTGAAGATGGTTTACTCGCAGCCATCGATTCGCCCAGAGAACAGCTAGGTAGACAGCATGCACGTCCAGAAATGAGTACAGGTTCCGCGGGAGAAAGGCCAAGATCTGCAGCGCTACCCCATGTCGTGTCGTTTGCGGCCGCTACTACCTCTCATCGATCTCTCGACAAACCACAGACTGCCTCTGATAAGGGATTGAGGCGAAGTGTGATATATACAAGCAAACGCGACTCCGCACCTGTCGACGACGAAGATGCTAAATTAATCATGGAGTCTCTTTATTCTGGCAAAAAGGGTGTACAGGTATTATCCACGTCCGACAAAGGAGTTTCAGACGCCGAGAACGAGTCATCCCTCTTCCAGAACGAAGACTTGTCAGTGGGTGCGGCTCATACTGAGCACCAGGGGCCTCCGACGTTAGTTGGGCCAGCGGAACACAACAACCTTGATGCTTCGATTGCGGCACATGCTCACCTGGCCGCACAATACGAAAGGTATCAACCGGCATCAGCCTCCTCAGCAAATAAGATCATGACGCCCTCCCAATTTGAACACTATAGACAACAACAGGAGCTCAGAAGATCCACAAGCGACGCATCTATAAGTGAGAAGTCTGGCGAAAGCGATTACGAAGAGGAGGATGAAACAGAGAAAAACCGTGAGGCTGAAAGGCAGAGACGGAAGCAGGAGGCTCATCTTTCTGTCTACCGACAGCAAATGATGAGAGTGACGGGCCAACAATCTTCCGCTCCTGCCCTGCCGACAGACATTGATCGGGCTAGCAAGAGTGCACCAAACTTGTTGCAACAAGGCAATTTATCCGGAAGCGGCAAGAGCAGTGATGGTGATGATGACGAAGAGATTCCATTGGGGATTCTTGCAGCACATGGTTTCCCAAACAGGAATCGGCCTCCCAGTCGCCTAACACCTTCTAACTCTATACCCAATCTTCGAAACTCCTTTCAACAGCCATTTATATCGTCTCCGGGGTCTGCCGCAGAACAGGATATGGCGAACCGTAGTAGCTTACCTGTCTTCGCCCGAAATCTGCCTCGAGACCCATATTTTGGTGCAAGCCTGGTCAACCCCTCTAACAGAGAATCTCTAGCCCTAGGAGGAGGCGCGTCTGTGCATGGTGGCCACTCGCCCGCGTTACCTCCAGGAGGCTTAGTGGGGGTCATTGCTACTGAGGAACGGGCTAGAGCCATGAGAAGGGGAAGTCCCAACACCCAAGCCATGTATGACTATCAGGCTGGTGGAGTATCCGGATCGGCAGTTCATCCTGGTGGTATTCCCAGACCTTACACTATGATGAACCTGAATCCAACCACTATGACTAGCTCGCAGCCATCGATATCTGCAACGGAGCAGGCACAAATACAACTTTCACAGCAAATGACGCAAATGGTGCAGATGCAGATGCAATGGATGCAACAGATGATTCAAATCCAGGGTGGCCAGAACGTTCCTCAAACTACAATCCAGGGCGGCCCTCTACCCGGTCTGGGAGCTAGTGTCAACATGCGGCCGTCATCGATGCCGTCAGCCGACACTATGAGCGGTGCATCGCCTGGTCACCAAGCTGACCACAGGACGCTCAGCATGCTTGACCCCAACGCCTCTTCTCGGTTGAATGCCCCGGCTTTGCCATATGCGTCTGGGGCCCTCAGGCCTGGCACCCCAGCAGGTCAAGGCTATGCACCCTCTATTGCCCCGTCCGAACGTAGCAATGTTGGGTTAGCATCCCGCTATAGACCTGTCTCCACGATGCAGCCAGATCCTGGGGCTTCGACTCTCCATTCCACATTCAACTCATGTAACGACGAGAATGAGAAACTCTCCGCTGTTGTTCCAGCCGGGTTGGCCATGTCTAATCGTCCGCTGTCCAGCCATAATCCCACACCCACTCACCCCAAGCCAAGTAACAGCGTTGCGGCGGACGATGACGATGACGATGAAGGCTGGGCTGAAATGATGAAAAAACGAGAAGACAAGAGGAACAATTGGAGGATGAAGAAGGAAACTTCTAGTTTTGGGGACTTGCTCAATGCAGTACATTAGCATGGTTAGTTATGTCCTGACGTATATTCTAGGTCTCAGGCCTAAATCTGCACATGCACCTTTCACTCTCGCCTCGATTTGTTTCCCTGAGAGCGATTTCTTCCTTCATCCGATCATCTGTTATCATTTGTGTGACATCTCAGCGCAGCAAACTGACTGTTCTGCATGCCTATGCAGTTGCTGTTGTTCAACCGTATTTTCGAAATCTGTTCGTTTCCTCGGTCCATCTCCCGACTGTCTCTTTTATTTTTCTGGATATGATTCTATACAACTGTTGGCCCCAGTGATTTGGCTTGTTCTCACTTGAGATATGGTTGATGGTGATAATGGCTAGCAGCTTTCTCCCTGTCTTTTGTCTTCGTGAAACGGACCTGGATAAGGGCTTATGAGTGGCGTTTTAATGGCTTGTCTATCTTTAGCCCAGTGCGGGTTGTGATGTTTTGCATTCATCTTCATGTCGCATGTATCTTTTTGAACCTGTACTTAATATGTACTCGATATCCATAAAATAATCTTACATCCTCGGTCTCTCTCACTTGGATAGAAGACATCGACTTCCTGCTGGAGTCGAAGTTATATAATGAGTTCCGACGAGATCAACGACCTTTCGGTGTGAGACGAGTGTCTTGTCCAAGGAAGTATCTTTTGTAAAACATGGGGTGACCCTCCCTGAGCAACCCGGAAAACGTCACCATTGTGGCTCGAGCTGGGAGCAAATCTTTAACATAGATAAGAAGGCAGACATTATTCACCCGGTCTGGTCAACCTGGAGCCTGTCTATAAGTGCGATCATAATAGCTATTTATCTTGTGCAGGAAGAAATGTGCAAAAACATTCAGGTACTACTATTTAGTCAATGGTGGTTGGTCACAAAGGGGAACTGATAGCCGAGTAACTGCTGATCACGTGCTTTGATTCCGAGATTCTTCAGACGTTACCAAAGCATTATCCGAAATTGCTTGCATCTACAACAATCTCACTTTTAGTACAGAGTCTTTGTTCAGCTCAAGCAGCGGGAAGTTGCATTCCTCATTTTGATCAAGTGAATCCTCTGTATCACTTCTCTATTATAACTTACCTACGGTACCACCGCTTAGGCTTCATTATCCTCCCTCGCACTTCCTAAGGGACAAAGAAGATACAGCGGAAGAGGGTTGGCTTCAGCTTCAGCTCTCTGCTTACTTTATAGTTATTTACTTGAGTCTAATACTGCTGACTGCTGTGTTGGGATCGCGGCTAGTTTCGGTTCTCTTGAATTCCCCTCCTTCGTCTGGATATCTGAACTCCAAATACAAGATGAACGCCCCAGATCGGTAAGAATTACTTTTAGTTAGAAGCATGGCTCTTCCTTCTGTTCATATCAGCATCCATCGTTTGAAATTAAAGACCTGTACGTGGGTGCAGCTGTAAGAGCTTTTGTCATTCATTGACTGACCCCAACCTTGGAGTCTTTGCATGGCAATTGCTCTTGTTCATTTCATCCTTTCCCCACAAATTCCCACGTCACACTGGTTGGTGTTTGCTGCTACTGTTTCCCCATTTTGTCTCGTTCTTCTGTACATCACCCTTACGTCAATCACCTTTCACCGAGCCCTTGCTGCCTGCTCCGAGTCATTGTCACGTTAGACGGCTGCGGCCATGAGTCCGAGCAAGGAATATCTTCTGCCGCCGGAGACAGCCTATGCTCGTTGGAGACACGGCAACGGCGGGCCTCGAGTAGGCTGTCAGTCCACGATCAATGTGTCCCATGACCAGCAGCAAAGGTCGGCTCCGTCCGATCGACAGTGTTGTGCCCTTGTGTTCATTCGATCCGTTGGCTCTTCGCAAGTGATGGTCAAGGTCCATCTACTGACCTATTCCTCAACCAGCTACGAGTCATTTGTGCTCGCCAGTGGCGAAAGCAAAGTCGAGATGGAGATAGATACTCGTGCGTCACTTATCCTTTTCGGCCTTGCCTGGTGAATGATACAAACTCTGATTTCGACCAGGCATCCCCTCTTCCGCTATCTTCACCTTTAATAAAGAGGATCACACTCTAGGGAACTTGATCCGTTCTCGCCTGCTACAGAGCTCTCATGTCCTCTTCGCTGCGTACAAGGTAAGCCCTTTCACGTTCAGTGATAACTACTGGCCAGGATGGATTTTGACAAGAAGTACATAGGTGCCTCATCCGCTTGTCCCGCAGTTTCTGCTACGCGTACAGACAGATGGCGAGATTACTCCCAAAGAAGCTGTTATTACCGCCTGCCATGAGCTTGTGCGTGACCTGGGTATTCTCTCCCGAGAATTCACTAAAGAGTATGAGCTCCGTAAGATGGTGGGGGCCACTCAACAGCAGAACGGTGGTCAGGATGGACTATAGTCACTATCTGCTGCTGTCCGCAGAATTAACCTGCTACGCGATTCCTGACGTGCTGAATCTTTAAACTTACCCAGCCGGATATGTTTCTGTTATCATCATACCCTTTGTTGTCAATATCCCGCTGTTTTCAACTTGGCTCTGTTTGCATGGACAGATCGAAACGCGCGTGCATCTATTTATCTGTCATCAGGACTAAGTGCTTTTATCGCTTGTTTTACTTCGCTTGTTTCACATGTGATTAATCTATAACTTGCTTAATGCGTTGCCTTAAGCGTTCCAGGGTGATACTTTTTCTTACGGCAGGATCAAAAAGTATTCACGTAACTTGTCTATATTTTTAATTCAGTAATCTTCTAGGTGGCTGAATATTGGCTAACCCTGTCCAGGCACTCGGGAGTAGCGACTATGTACTATACTAGTACGTAGATTAACAGTAATTGATCAACTTTCTTAAGCTTGAGTAGATACTTGTAACTTGATAGCAGTCGCTTAACTCGCTAGTAATAATAGGTTAACAATATTGTTAGTTAGCTAAAGAAGCCAGGTAAGTCAGCAAGCCACCTTGCAGACTCAATAACTCCAGATCTATTGAAAGCTATTGGGCCAACAAGCAACAAGCAACAAGCAACTAGATATAATCAAGATTTTCAGATTGATTGTGATACAAGTAATAATACATACACTTTGTACTGTACAATATATAGGTGGTTTGTGGGTAGGCCTAAATTGCCTCCGGGTTGGCTTGGTTATTATTTGACTGACAAACACACTAAGTTAGTTAGTTAACCACGTACCTAGTAGTTATTGTACTGTAGTACTGTACTCCGTACAGATTAATTACTGAGTGACTTACCGTCCCTGATTATGTAAGTTGTCAACCGTCGTCAGCGTCACCGGCAGCTCCCCTTCCCAGTTCCCCCCACCCCCAAATACTCCCGCCTCCCCCGAAACCCCCGAAACTGTTGCCTGTCCTGTTCGCGCGGCCGGCTCTTCTTCTGTTGTTTTACCTTTTCTCCTCCTATTCTGCGCTCTCCATCGTCTCCTTATTTTGAGCTTGTTTCTCTTTCCTCTCCTTCAGTAAATGTAACCGTGCGTTTGCTAATGTATTCTTCGTCGAGCTCTTTCCTGGGCGCCAACAGCGCTCGTCCCGGCCAACCCCCTTTCGTGCAGCCGCAGCAGCCGCAGCAGCAGCAACAGCAACTGACCCCCTACTCGCCATTTCCTCCCAGCCAACCACAGCAACAACAACAACAACAACAACTACCACTACCACTACCACATCAAACTGGCTTCGTTCCTCAGTCAACCGGCTATGGGCCTCAGCTGGTCGGGCTAGGGGGCTCTCAGCTACAGCCTCAGTCTACAGGATTCCCCACCGGGCAGCTGCAGCCTCAAGTTACTGGTTACCCTGGAGCATTATCACAATCGCTTCAGAATGGTTATCAAGTTTCAGCTCAGCAACCACAATACACGGGGCTTTCCCCCCAGCCGCAGACTGCGCAGTTTCAAGTCCCATCGAATACAGGTCTTCGACCTGCTCCTAGGACATCAACGGAAATGGCAGACTCATTCCAGGGCAGTACTAGGATGGCGCCACCGCCGCCGCCCAAGTCAGCCGGGAATAAGATTCCCAATATCAGACTGTCATTCATCACGGCGCAAGATCAGGCCAAATTTGAACAGCTATTCAAATCTGCCGTAGGGAGTAATCACACAATGAGTGGTCAGTCATGCGAATCGACCTTAGGAGAGCCTTAGCTCGCACGGTTACTAATACTTTCTCACAGGAGAGAAAGCCAAGGAGCTTTTACTACGGTCGAATCTTTCGGGAAGTGACCTATCCAAGATTTGGTGAGTTGCCAAGCTCCGTCTCCAGTATCAGGATGTTGCTAATGATTACAGGGTTCTATCTGATTCTACCAAGTCAGGGCAGCTGTTTTTCCCCGAGTTCGCTTTGGCAATGTATCTATGCAACCTCAGGATCACAGGCAGGGATCTCCCGGAGGCCCTTCCCGAGAAAATCAAGAACGAGGTATCTAGCATGGTCGACATAATCTCTTTCCAAGTTCCGGATACACAACCGGAGCCCGTCGCGAGGACAAATGTCCCGAACTTTGATGGTCTAGTGATGGAAAATCAAGCTATCCCTTCAGCTCCGAAGCAGCCTCAGCCTCAGCAACCTACTAACGCCCAGCTTTTGACCCAGCTCGCGGCGCAGCACACGGGCTTCCAGCAAACGAGCGGCTTCCAGCAAAGTCAGTCGTCGTTTTCAGGCCAAGGCTCTCTTCCTTCCCAGATCACAGGTCTACCTGGGCAATCTCGGCAGCAAGATTTGCAGCCCCAGCCAACAGGGTTCATGCCTAACCCTCAGCCTACGGGCTATAGCGGGCCTCGCCCTCCTATTCCACCAATGCCTACCGGTCCCGGGTACAGCCTTAGTCCTTCACAAACCGGGGCCGCCCCTGGGTTAATTGCGCAGCCTACCGGTGTTCCCGGTCAATGGGGCTTCGTCAATGCCCCGTCGTCGGGGTTGCCTAATATTGAAGCTCTCAAGCAGCAACTCATGCCGCAACCGGGACGCGAAGGAGGCTTTTCCGCTGCCGGCCTTTCGGGCAACGCTCGCATTCCCTGGGCTATC